AAACCCATGTGCCACCCCTGCAGCCTCCTAGGGCTCCTTGCCCTCTCCATCACTGGCAAATGCAGTTACAGCCCAGAACCTGACCAGCAATGGACGTAAGTTGACTTAACACCAACGACCCCCTTCCCGATTCCCTGTTCTCACCTGCCCTGGTCCTAGCTTATCCTCATCCCCAGGTTCCTCAGCTCAGCCCACTACCACTCACCTTCTGTTACCCATTTTCACTCTGGAGTCCCATGCAAGGTCTCAGCTCCCAATCCGGAGCCTCCCCTAACTACAATTTCCCATCCTCACCCTAACCAAGGCCATGTACCTGACCTCTAACCCTGCAGGCTACCCCCAGGCTGGGTGTCCCTGGGCCGTGTGGACCCTGAGGAAGAGCTGAGTCTCACCTTTGCCCTGAAACAGCAGAACCTGGAAAGACTCTCGGAGCTGGTGCAGGCAGTGTCGGATCCCCGCTCTCCTCAATACGGTGCCTGCTGGGACTGGAATCAGGATGTGGGATGCAGTGGAGGGACATAGCGTTGGGCTGGGCTGGGCATGGGATGGTGCAGATCATGTCAGGGTTATGTTCTCGGTGCCTGTCAAGGGCATAACATAGGGCAGATAACTGGCAGTGGCTATTACTGAAGAGTTTCTTAATGAAACAGTGAACTGGAACTAAGCTGTTCAAAACTAACTCATATTCTTTGATCCACAACTTTCTACCTGTGTTCTTCAGGCTAAAAACCTATAGTCAATGTAGTTAAGAGCACAGGCTTTATGATTAGATCTGGATTCAAATTCTGACTCTGTTGCTGACCAGCTACCAAAGGAGAAGAGCATCTAGTACATCTCAACTCAAGTTCCTTCCCTTCCCCCTCGAATCTATGCCCATTTCCTCCTCTGTTCTGCCTCTGTTCTTAGGAATTGCCTCTCTCTGTTCCTCCTCTGTTCTTAGGAATTGGTTTCAATTCCTAAGTAACTTTTAGGTTAGACCACTTCACACCATCCCTTGTTGTTACCAACTAAGTTTTTGCCCCCAATTACCAGAGGGCATGTGCACTTGCCTGAGGGACAGAAGGAGAAAGTACCTCTGCCCTGGAATATAATCACTCTCCAATCCCTTCTCCTCCGTTTCTCCATCCTGTTGGAATTTTAGGTACAGGTGCATGTATGCACACAGGCCCAGAGTGCTCGAGTCACCAGAGCTGGGAGTCGAATCATGGTTGGACATGTGGGATTCCACTTCCTTAACCATCAGGCCAGAGGGCCAGACCCTCAATTATTAATCTCTCTCCTGAACTAGTGCCCAGTCCCCTCACTAATCTGCAGTCCTCTCCCCTCCACATCATTCCAAAACAGTCTCTCCAAGACCCATATTGGATTGTATCCTGGTTAAAGCACTTCCAGGCAGAGGGAGGCTGTGTGTTAAAAGTGGGTTGGGGGAGGGACATCTCAGATTCACCCAAGGTGAGCACTAGTGTGCCTGGTTCTGTGCAGGAAACAGTACCTCACCATCATGTTAGGCTTAAGACAAAAAAGTATTAAGATTTGAGCTAAACTAGGTGTTATAATTGGTTCCAAAGTTTGAAAACTTTTATTGGAGATAAACTTAAAATGAAAAATTTCAATTTATTACTCTCATTTGCTGTTCATGATCTTGGCAGAGCATGCTGCGGTGCAGCATTTAAAGCCTAGTAGCCTTTAGGGCAAATCCATATTCTTGGCCATGACCATCCAAGTCTCTCCAGCCTTTTCTCTCTGCCACCCTACCTGTCTCAAATATATCTTGTCCCCGTATCACTCTTCTTCACTCTGTTTCATGTTCCCTGGGAAGTCCTAATGTCTCATGGTTAAGGTTCAGAGTGGGCATTCTGAGAAAGCAATAAAGCAAGAGCCTTTCTGAATCTCTGCAGGAAAATACCTAACCCTAGAGGATGTAGCTGAACTGGTCCGGCCATCACCATTGACCCTCCACACAGTCCAAAAATGGCTCTTGGCAGCTGGAGCCCGGAACTGCCATTCTGTGACTACACAAGACTTTCTGACTTGCTGGCTGAGTGTCCGGTGAGAAGAAATAAGTGCTCCATGGAGGGAACCAATAATCCTATCAGGAAGACTAGTCACACCAATGGAAGGGAACTGAGAGCCTGGAGGGAGGGAAATGACTGGCTGCCCAGTGGTGCGCAGACTCCTCTTCTCCATTCAGTGCTTTCTGACCTCTGTTCTCTGCTCTCCGACCTCCAGACAGGCAGAGCGGCTGCTCTCTGGGGCTGAGTTTCATCGCTATGTGGGAGGACCTGCCAAGACCCATGTTGTAAGGTCCCCACATCCTTACCAGCTCCCACAGGCTTTGGCCAGCCATGTGGACTTTGGTAACATGCAGTGGGATTGGTGGGGGTTGGGGCAGGCAGATCCAGGAGCTGGAGAAGTTTAGATGCCACAGGGAGGGTTGGAGTGGGGGTCAGTGAAAAAGTGGGTATTGGAGTCTATAAGGTCTCCTCAAACCTAACTCCTCCCCACAGTGGGCGGACTGCACCGCTTTCCCCCCACATCGTCCCTGAGGCAACGCCCTGAGCCACTGGTGGCAGGGACTGTTGGCATGCACCTGGGGGTGACCCCATCTGTGATCCGAGAGCGATACAACTTGACAGCAAAAGATGTAGGCTCTGGTACTACCAACAACAGCCAGGCCTGTGCCCAGGTGAGCTAAGCAGAGAACCCCAGGGTCCTCACCCTGAGGCTTGCCCTCTGACCCATGATCCTTATCTGATTCCCTCCACAGTTTCTGGAGCAGTACTTCCATGCCTCAGATCTGGCTGAGTTCATGCACCTCTTTGGTGGCAACTTTGCACACCAGACATCAGTGGCCCGTGTGATTGGAAAACAGGGCTGGGGTCGGGCTGGCATTGAGGCCAGTCTAGATGTGGAGTACCTGATGAGTGCTGGTGCCAACATCTCCACGTGGGTCTACAGTAGTGCTGGTACTGCCAAGGGGACTGACCGATGGGGAAAAGGGTGGGAGGTGGGTTTGCTCCTTGTTCCCTTAAAGGATGCCATGGGCTGGAGGGAAACTCTGACAACCCCCACCAGTGACTACCCTTGTGCCCACCCCTCAAAAAATAAAATCCAGGCCGGCATGAGGCACAGGAGCCCTTCCTGCAGTGGCTCCTGCTACTCAGTAACGAATCAGTCCTGCCATACGTGCACACCGTGAGCTACGGAGATGATGAAGACTCCCTCAGTAGTGCCTACATCCAGCGGGTCAACACTGAGTTCATGAAGGCTGCCGCCCGGGGGCTGACCCTGCTCTTTGCCTCAGGTGATGCCTTTACCCTAAATTAAGACCCACCCACCCACTCACCCAACTGAGAGCTTTGACCACATTGTGACCACAGAACCCGGTCTCTAACTTAAAATCTAAACGCAGACCTTCCATAGCGACTACTGGCCTGACTTCTAAACTTGGCCCTTCTGCAGTAATAAATGACACCTGAATTTTCCCTCTGACATCTGAACCCATATACGAAGTTCTGACCAATTAATATGACTACTAAACTTGGTATCCCTCCCAGGTGACAGTGGGGCTGGGTGTTGGTCTGTCTCTGGAAGACACCAATTCCGTCCTAGCTTTCCTGCCTCCAGGTAAGCACCCCAACCCACCACTTACCTGCAGCCACAAACCTTTCACCTGTGATTGACAATCTATGACCTTTCCCTTGACCCCATCAGGTGCTTCTGCGGCTCAGCCCTCAGCTTTACCTGCCCTGGTTGCTACATACACTCTCCTCTGTTCTTCCTTTAGGCCCCAGGCATTTTACTGGAAGATGGGGTGAATGTTCTGTAGAGGATAGTGTGCACAGTCACCTCAGGCCATGCCTTGAGGGTTCAAAACAATCTTAGCATGTACATGCTTCTGCATAGACTCTAGCTCCTCCAGCAAGACCCAGCCCATATTCACCCATCCCCACACATCTTAGAGGTCCCTTTGGGTCCTCTATCTGAATGCTGGCTTTTGTCCTCAGTCCCTATGTCACCACAGTGGGTGGCACATCCTTCCAGAATCCTTTCCTCATCACAAATGAGATCGTTGACTATATCAGCGGTGGCGGCTTTAGCAATGTGTTCTCACAGCCTTCCTATCAGGTATGTGTACATTTGTGCGCATGGATGGGGGAGTGATGGACCCTCATTTCAGCAGACTGTGGGCAGACCTCAGGCCAATATTCACTCCACAATGCCTTTAGGAGGAAGCTGTAGCCAAGTTCTTGGGCTCTAGTCCCCACCTGCCTCCATCCAGTTACTTCAATGCCAGTGGTCGTGCCTACCCAGATGTGGCTGCACTTTCTGATGGCTACTGGGTGGTCAGCAACAACATACCCATTCCGTGGGTATCTGGAACATCGGTGAGCATCAGCCAGGCTCCAAACCTCCACTCAGGAACTACCCTTACCTTCTGCCCCTGAGACCTTGCACCCAGAACCCTGACTCCTTAGAGATCTCGCATCCTTTCAAATATCCCTCCCTCAAAATCTGACTACTAACTGCCCCCTCACTCTTGCAGGCTTCCACTCCAGTGTTTGGGGGAGTCCTATCCTTGATAAATGAGCACAGAATCCTCAACGGCCGCCCCCCTCTTGGCTTTCTCAACCCAAGGCTCTATCAGCAGCATGGGGCAGGACTCTTCGATGTGAGTGTGGAAGGGAGGAGATGTCTTCATATGTGTATGGAGAGTACTAAGATGAACTTGGGGGGAAGTTCTGGGGTGGGATAGCCTATGGGTTATGAATACGGGGTGAAGAAGTACAGTCTGTTAGTACTGGTACCAGCAGGCCCAGATCTGATGTCCACCTTCTCCCTAGGTAACTCATGGCTGCCATATGTCTTGTCTGAATGAAGAAGTTGAGGGCCAGGGTTTCTGCTCTGGCCCTGGCTGGGATCCTGTGACAGGCTGGGGAACACCCAACTTCCCAGCTCTGCTGGAGACACTACTCAACCCTTGACTTCCCTGCCAGCAAAGCTGGCCTATCCCTTGCCCTGAAGCTGATGGCTTTGTCCCTTATTCTGTCTTGTTGGAAGCCCTGCTGAATTCTCAACTGTTGACTGCTACTTAAGACATCTCCCTAACCCTGTCATGCGGTGAGCTTGACTTGACTCCCATTCCTAACCTGCCCCATCATACTCAGGTTTCCCTACTCCTGCCTCAGGTTCCTTAACAAGATGCTATCACCAGCATTTTTTTTTTTTTTTTGGCTGTCCCCTGCTTCCACCTCTTCTTCCTCTTTTCAACCAGACTCTTCCAAAGGATTCTCCACACTGACCTTGTGCACTATTTCATTTCATGTTAAGTCACTGCAATAAAACCACTGTACACTATTTTACTTCATGTGTACTCAGTTGACTGCAATGAAACCTGCTCTCACCTTTTATCCTTTCCTTCCGGGACTCTGAATAACAGTGGCCTCCCTGCTGCTTCATCCAGTGCACCCTTCTCAATCTCTGTTTTATGGCCTTTCCATCATAATTGCCCACTCCTCCTCCTTCTTTCGTTTCCAGGGTTAACTTAATCTGACCTCTATTTTCCTCCTTCATGGACTTCTCTTCCTCTGCTTACTCACAGAGTGCTGGTGTTCTTCACTGCTCCATCCTTAGTCTTTTGCTTTTTGCATTTTACACATTGTCCTCAGGAACCAGTCACTGGCATGTATGGCTCTCACCATCTCACTACATCAGTCTTCCTCTCCAGTAGTGATTGATACCTTAAATGCAACACGTGTGACACTCAACACCTCGTCTCCCTCCTTCCCAAGCCTGAACCATTCCATCTCCTGTTTCTTCTTGGTAAAGGATTCTATCCCAGCCAGAAACCTGTCACCCTTCACTTCCACTTCCTCAAATACTACCCACCTCTGCCACCTTCGATCAACAGGTCCTACTGACTTCACCTTTTAAATATACCTTTATCAATCCCTAAGTTCTTTCTTCCAGTCTTATCTCCTAAATACATTAAGGCTTAGCCACTTCTCTCCATCAAGCTACATTCATTTAGAGCAATATTCTTTCTGAATTGTAGGAGGCCCTTGCAAAAACAGTCTCCTCACTTCCTGCCCATCTCTAAACCATCTTCCTAAGTAAAATATAAATCCCATCAGGCCATCTAATTGATTAAACCCTTTAGAAGATTACTAGATAACGTTCAGGCTTTTTATCATGGCTCTCAAACCTTACTTGCTATATGTCTGTGAGAAGTAATTTTTCCTCAGACCAGCAGTTAGCGTAATGTCTATGTTGATGGACTCCCACATAGTCAACCGTGGTTCGAGTCCTGGACCTGGTGGCTTAAACTCACACCAGGCGCGTGTGCATGCATGTCCAAGACCCCGAGAGGAGAATGGAGGAGAAGGGATTGTGGCATGACTGTCCCCCCTGGGGGGTGATTTCTTGCTTTCTGTCTCTCTGTCTCTCTCTGTCTGGCGAGCGCACGCGCCCTATAGCAAAAACCTTTCCAAAAAAAAAGGTAATTTTTCCTCTTTCCCACACTCCAAAAAATTTCATCTTTCCTTCCTGTAACACCACCCCGATACAGTTGCCTATTGACTTCCAAGATTCTTTCAAGACTCAGCCCCGAAGTCTATTTTCTTGTGATCTTTTGATTCCCCAAGGCTAAATTATTTTGGTATTGCAGAAAAATCCTAAATTTTAAAAATCCAATCTGTCAGAATCTTGATACAGACTAGGAGAGAGTCTTGAGCAAGTAAGTTTATCTTCCTGAGCCTGTTTCCTTATCTGCTACGAAGGAATATTAATTAATACCTGCCTTTCATAATAGGGAATAAAGTGAAGTAATGTCCAGAGGATGCCTGGCACCTGGAAGCAGGCAGATGTCAACTCCCTGCCTTCTTTGCACTGCACACCCCATGCCTACCTCTAGACTGCGCCGTATTGAAATTGTGTGTGTTTGCCTCCTTTTCCGAGACCCTTGGTGCCTAGAGGACTAAAATCTTATCCTACTTAACTTGTATCACTAGGCCCTAGTCCAGGAATTGGCAAAAAAATGGAATAAAAGTCTGCTGAATTGAAAAGCCACGTTTTCACTCGCTGTGATTTTGCATCTGTTTTCTCAGGCTGAAATACTTTCCATTTAGGGCAGCAGTGTGTGCCCTCCAGCTGCGCTCATCTCTGGAGGCAGCAGGCAGAAGAGACCAGGGGACAGGGGAGGAGGGGCACTTTGCAACTTCTCTATGAACTTAAAAGGCCAAACAACGGAACTAGAAAGATGCAGGCTAGCTGGAAATCCACAGTCGAGGGGTATGGGCTGATCACTCACAGAATGAGCTATCCCAGACCGGCAGAACAGAGCCCTGGACGTACAGTGATTCCCATCCCGACGACTGTTCTCGGAGCGCCGCGGGTGGAGGGAGGGAGGACGGCGGCGCAGCCCCAGGGTTTAGCCCAGCGCTTTAGGGTACTTCCTCTAACTGGCCCAGGGCACCGAGCACAGGCCGTAGGCCGGAACCAGAAGCTATGTCGTGACCAGCGGGGCGGGGGCGCAGCGTGTGACGTCACCAGGGGCTGCGTAA